ATCGGGACACATCAAGTATGATTGTCCTCACTTAAAGAAGAAATGATCTAGCAAGCCAAAGAAGAAGGCTTTTGTTGCTACTTGGAGTGATGAGGATATCTCCAATGATGAAGAAAATGAAGTAGCCAACCTTTGCCTAATGACCATCCAAGAAGAATCAAAGGTATCTCCTAACTCAAATGAATTAAATTCATATATTCTTTTGATGAGTTACAAGATGTTTATGATGAATTGATCTTGGAATTTGAAACCATGAATTCCAAATACAAGAAAGTAATTCTCTTTTGAAGATTAAATTAGATTTTGAAAACAAAAATGAAATTTTGGAAAATGATTTAGAGCTTTCAGAATTGAAACTTGATAGCTTAATAAAAGAGAACAAAATATTTCTCACAATTCATCAAAGTCAATAATGACAAAATGTTCACATTGTCATTTTCATGGTCATAATTCTAATACTTATCCTATAAAGAAAAGAAAATAATATAAAATAAGGCAAGTATTGGTTCCTAAGGGAACTAGTGGCTTGAAACTAACAATTAATGACCCAAAGCAATTTGGGTACCAAAAATCAAGTAAATGTCTTTTGTAGGTGTGTTGGAGCATTGATGAGCAATGTCAAGCTATTTGGAGGCTCTAAAACACAATAAGGAATGACACTTGAAGAAAGGGAGACGACCTTAATTCAAGTAATAACAAGTTTTTATTTCATGGAATTTTGTGCTTTATATGATTTTATATGTTTGCATGCATGATTGTGTGTCCCCACATAGTGCTTAATTGCAATTAGTTAGGGGAGTTAGTTTTTGCATGAGTTGCAATTTTATGGCCTTATATGCTTATGATGATGCTTTTGGCCTTAAATTTGCAATGTTTGATTGTTGTAGTGAAATCATATTCTCCATGCTTTGTATTGATTACGTATGTTGATTATGAGAATATGAAGTTTAAATGTAGCAAAAATTGAAAATATGCATGTTTAGGATCTTTAGAGCCATTATATGTTTGTGTGACTTGATTTGAATTTTATTTATGCAAATTATGGACTATATTGATTAATAATAAAATTTGCATAATTTGATGTATCAAGTTGACATAATGCGACTTAGGTTGCATCCATTTAGTGTCTCTGTCATCAATTTGGTCTTTGAAATAAAAGATGCAATTTTAAAGGAAAAGGATTGATCCCTTTGATAAAATGATCTATCCCTTTTTGAGAAGGATCGATCCCTTCAGGACATTTTTGCGGAGAAAATTTAACCTATTTAGGTGCATTTCAACCTCCATTCCCTATATTTCGAAACAAATACTCCCAAAACCTCCCAAACTCTGATTTTTACTAAAAGTCTTCAATCCGAATCAATTGCAATTGGGTAGAGAGTGTTTTCAAGGTTTTGAGGTATAAACCTTGAAGTGTTTGTAAGGTTCCTTCAAGGTAAGCAAATCTAGTGGATTTGAGAAATTCTTAGTGTGGATGCTAAGGTAGTGGGTGTAGACTTGGTTTAAAAGTCGAATTACTTTAAATTGATGTGCAAAAAGTTCTATTTTTCGATTGCTTCCATCAAACATTTTAAAAGGCCAATTCACCCCCTCTTGACATCTTCGGTTGTTCGTACGAGCTCAACAAATATAGATTCTCACATAAACTTAAACCATTATTAATCCATTTTTTCATTTGCATTCTTAATTTTAAATAAAATTTAGGTAAACAGAGTCCATGGTGGTGAAAATTAAGTTGTTGGTTTTCAAATGAACCTTTTTTAGATGAAGGAAATCTATTAGAGAAGGCATTATAAATGTTTCAGGTTAAGTTGGTGTGGGTTTTTTTTTAAAGTCGATATGGATTCAAGAATTTGTATATTTAATCTGCCTCTTTTCGTTTTAAATCCAGTTATTATTGTCCTCTTTACATATGAGAGAGGCGACAACTAGGGATGATAACTTAATCCGAAATTGATTGGTTTTGACCAAATCTGATAGGGTCGGATCTTTTAAAAAAAAGATTGGGTTCTGGGCCAGGTTGAATTTTTAGGGTGTGAGGTCGGGTTGAGTTCAAGTGGAAGGTGAAAAAATTTCATCCTGATTTAACCCCGGGATAATAATGTAATTTTTTATATATAAAAAATTAATTAAATTCTTATTTTATACTGGGTCGGGTCAGATCGGGTTGAATTTATACTTTAAAATTCGGATCGAGTTAAAGTCGATGAAGGATGTATATTTTCAAATCGGATCGGATTATATAGAATATATATAATCTTCATATCGAGTCAGATTCAAGTGGAAGATATATATTTTTTAATCAAATCGGGATGACTAAAAACTCCATCTAGCCCCATCCGTTGCCATCCCTAGCGGCAGCAAATGTTGAACGAAATTGGAGAATCATAAAGATTTCGGTTTTGCGAGAATCTTCCTTCCCCTTTCCGCGTGGTACGTAACAGTCCCCATAGACCACAACAACACCAACCTTAAGAAGTTATTGACAAAATTACCAAAAGGATGTTTTCATTAGTTGATTACCGCCCCCTTTTGTGGCCAAAACTCTTTCATGAACTAAAATAATAATTAAATTCTAAAAATCAAAGAGAATAATTTTAAGGGTAAACAACACATTTAGTACCTAAACTATCAGTTTTGATCCATTAATACCTAATTTTTTTTATTTTTCAAAATCACATCTAATGTTTAATTTTCATTTAATTTTAGTATCATGTTGTTAAAAATTTAACGTGTTTAGTACCTAAACTATCATTTTGGTCCATTTTAGTATCTAAACTTTCAATTTTTTTCAAAACCCAATGTTAAATTTTAAACGAGGTACCGAAATGAAATAAAAACTAAAGTTTTTACCGACGGAAACTAAATTAAAATAAAAACTAAAATTTAAGTATGATTTTGAAAAAAAATAAAAAAATTAAGTATTAAAACAGACTAAAATTGATAGTTTAGATGATAAATGCGTAATTTACCTAATTTTAAACTTCAGAGGTATTTTGAAAAAAAACAACTAAACAAAAATTTTGGGGGCATGGCATATAGACTATATATGTGCATAATTTTTTGGCAGGCTGCAATTGGCGTATTGAGATTAAACAGATATTTTTCACTTGGCAAGTTGCACAACGTAGACAGCTAGTGATCATATTTTCAGCCAAAATTGAAGAAGATGGTGATCATATAATAATCCATAGTTTCATTTCTAGTCTTCGCCAACGTCAGCACTAGTTTCAGATCCCATCAACCCTACAAAGAGATCCCTCCGTAATAAAAGGGTTCTTTGGCTTAAATTACAAGGAAGATCCTACCGTTTCATTGGCACATGAGACCAGGGGGATCAATCCTAAGTCCCCTAACTAGGACGATAATCGCAAATTATTTGGGTCTAATTCAGTTAAAATTCGATTAACATTCAAACTGAAAGGATTCAACTTGAATTTTATAAACTAATTGTTAATAATATTATTATTTATATGTTTACTTAATACAATATAATAATTTCATGTACTTAAGGTTCATGTTTAAACTCGGTTTTTAGCTTGAACAGAGCTAAAATTTGAGCTTCAACTGAGTTAAGTTTGAGAATACTTTAAGTCTAAGTTTTTTCAAGCTTGAGTCAAGCTTGAAAATTTTAGCTCATGAGCTTTCGAGTCTACTCAAACTCAGCTTTAAACTTTTCTAGTCGAATCATGCTTAACAATACTCGAACTCGACTTGTTTAAGGTCCAACCCCTAACCATGCCCTATGTACAAATTGGCCATTCGGGGAATGTGATTTTCCCCTCTTCGCTTTCTGGAAAAGTTTGCTGGAAAAAAAATATCCCTAAAATTATCTTATTGATAAGTCTTCAAGATCAAGTTGGTCCCGAAGAAAGTGACTGCTTTGTACCAAATCATGCAAAATTATAACATGCATGCACAATCCCCATATGATTATTTATCCCACTTGAATTCTTAGAAAACTGCTTTGGGTGTTAGCAATCAAATAAATTTTAGGCTTAATGCACTTTTAGGTGCTTAAACTATACTCAAATTTATTTTTGGTGCCTAAAAAATTCTTCACTAAAAATAGGAGCCTAACGATTTTAATGTTACACATTTGGTGCCAGGACCGTAACGGCCGTTTAATTTAGCCGTTATCTAACATGTGTCATGTATATAATTTTTTTTAAAATATTTTTTAAAAATTCAGTACTATAATTAAAAAAATCCTAAAATCCCACTGTCGAGCCGCCACCGTCGGTTCGTGGTTGCCATCATTGATACCATTAGAACCATCTCATTGATACGACCAAAATCCAGTCTCTCACCAATCGTGAAACAGGGTTTTAAATAGCGATCTGCGACCGTGATAGCGTCCGCGAAATAGTGGTAGCACTGTCTTTCGATATACTTGTTATACCCGCAATAGCGCCTGCTATGGCCGCAATCGTTGTAAATGTGACCGCGACCGCAATCTGAATCCCAGTCGTGAAACTGCGTCAATCGTCGTAAAAAACGTCGCGAAGGGTCGTCGATTTTTTAAGTTTTCCTTCATTGTTTTCCGATGATTCTGATGACTACAGTTGGTCGTACATTACACGGCCGTAACCATTGAGTTCCTCACCGTGCACTGAACAAAACCCATCCGGTAGTGACCATTCGTCGTCGGTGGTGGAGGATGGGAGGGAGAGGGACGACGCGAGTTTAGATTTTTTTTTAATTTTTTTTTACAATAATATTTTTATTATTAAAAAAGTGTAAGGTATTCGCCTCAAAGTGTAATGTGAAAAATATTAAACAATTATTTTTATCGAAAAATTCTTTATACACTAAAAGCAAAATTGAAGTATGGTTTAAACACCTAAAGTGTATTAAACCTAAATTTTATGTAATATTTTATTTAAATTAATCCATTAATAAAATCACTAAATGCCACAAGTGAAAGCAGTTTAAAATGCAGGATATATGAGCAGCTCTATACTTTTGACTTTTCAAAATGTCAACTTGCCGGAGGTAGAAACCGACTTACAGAATTATGGCTTAATTTCCAGTTGGGGAAAAAGAATCATCTTTTCTCTTTCTTTCAATATATAAACCAAGGCCTTCGATCTAGATTTTCACTCATATATCTCTCTCTTCAACTTCATCACAATTCTCTGACAGATCACAATTATCGATGACTAACTTGTACATGGAGAACTGGGATTTGCAAGAAGTAGTTGGAGAAATCAGCATGGAAAACCCAGCATTCAGCTTTGATTCTTGGAGTTTTCAAGAGGAAGAAAATCTCACGAGTTTCCCAGAAAATTTCAATTTAGATGAGCTGGAGGAGCTTTACAATCCCTTTCGTCCCGAGCTGAATCCATATTCCATACCAGTTCTTGAAGATCATGCGGAGGGAAAACAACAACCTCTTGCAAATAAGGATTCAGCAAAATCTAAAAGAGTCAGGTTTGTAAAAATTAATCATGCTTGTGAAAGCAAGGAATTTGGTTAGTTTTTTGAGTAATTAATTGGTGTTGATCACATGTTTCAGCCGGAAGAATCAGAAGAATAGAGTGGTGCATCACGTAACAGCTGATGGCCTTCAATCGGATGCATGGGCATGGCGAAAATATGGGCAGAAACCGATCAAGGGCTCACCATATCCAAGGTAATTTAACGTCTTTCCTCTCTCTTCAATCTTCGTCGTCATCTTTGTTTTGGTATATAAAGCTTATTTTTTTAATGGAAAAAAAAACACAGAAGCTATTACAGGTGCAGTAGCTCAAAAGGCTGTTTAGCAAGAAAGCAAGTAGAGCGTAGCTCCATCGAGCCCGGAGTCTTTATCATAACATACACCGCCGAGCACAGCCATGGCCACCCGACTCGGCGGAAGTCGACGGCAGGAAGAACTCGCAACAAGTCGTCTACGGTGACTAAAAGTCTTGCAGATAAAAATGAACTCCACGATGAGAAAGAAGAAACAGTGCTTGTTTCTTCGACTAGAATTAGAAACGAGTCTGGGAAACAAAAGATAAGCGTGAAAATGGAGGAGCTGCAGCAAATGGTTGAAGAGGATGATGAGAGGGACAAAAGTCTCAGGCGGAACATAATGTTGAATGAGGGTTTAGTAGAAGGCTTTGAGTTTGAGGGGTTGTTCCTCGACCAGTTTCCAGATTTGTCTCATGAAGTATGGTGCATGAATGAATCTACAACCTCAACTGGCGGTTGCTGAGTTAGTCTTTAATTAATTTGATAGAATTTTTGCTAATATGTAAAAAAAAAGTTGCAATGTTGTAATTTTCGTGGTATATTTCTTTCATTTCCTAGCCCTTTGCACCACTTCTTTTATTAATAAATATCAACTTCAGCATGATCTAAAAGCTGGAAGAATCTAAACTTAAAATAGCAAATGATTTAAATTCAGATTAATAAGTGATAAGGTTTGGATCTTGTTATTAAATTCAGAAAACATGTTTCCCATACACTTATTTCTTTGATATTTTACATCCATGTGGATGGATACAACAGATATATACTCTGGTAAGTTGCATTACACATTGTCGATAATATTTATGATTCAATTACTCGGCAGCTGTAGCAGAGGCTCCTCTGGTTTCATCAAGCAAACCAGCCACTGCACCCACAAAAGCTGCATTCATATAAGTTGTGGGCTCGGACTGCGAGTGCTCCGATCTCAGATCGTTGAAATGGTCATTCGAATCGGGGCCTCCGACGATTGCTCCGACATGAAGATTTTGATTCGGGCTGTTAGAATTGAAATACATCGACATGCCATCGTTACACCCCACCTTGCTGGGGTGACAGTGGATAGAAGGAATGGATGAGCCTCTATGGTGAAGCTGCGTGGGATGTTTACTTCCATGCCCCACCATGTACGACATCTTCATGGGGTTGTTCCCCAATATGTAATCCACCTGTGATTTCACGAAAGATTTGATTTGAGAAGCTGAGAAATGGGTCGGGCCGCATTGAATGCCATCGATGTTAGATGCCATCAACGTTTTCGAGTAAACAGACAGCACCATGCACGAACTTGTAACATACTGCAAATTAGAGCTACTTCTTACATACAACAGACCACCTGGAAACAAGCCAGAAAAATCTATTAGCTTATTGAAAAGATCATTAGAAATCTTAAGTTATTCACTAATGAATTTAGATGTGTATGTGTACCAGCAGTCGTATTGTACTGCAAAGTGTTACTCCCAGGCATCAGTTTACATATAAATGATTCGACATCGGTCTTATATTTAGACAAATCCTTCTTCCCACCATAGAATTCCTGAATAAAAAACTGTTAATATCTTTCTTTTTTTACTTTTACAGCGAATTAACATCGCCATACCTGAGCTAGTAATGCCTGAGCTCCAGGAAATTTACCGTCCCAGCTAAACTCTAATGCTGATTCACTCCAGCCTTGGTTTCTCACAACATAGTTCAAGTACTTTTCATCTCTACTTGCCTTGTACAGCCAAGCTGCCGACCATATCAACTCATCCTGTCAAAAAAAAATCCGAAATAATGAAGCTCAAATCAAAGAGAATATAGGAAATTTCTACATGTTTTACCTTATATCCAGTGTAAGAGATGTAGAAAGGGAAAGATTCATTGTATTTTCCCCTGTACTTGTCTGCAAATTTGAATAACTGGGAAGCCGAGCGATTGAGGTTAAACATGTTTATAAGTTAATAATAGTTTGTTAGGCATAAAGGACTAATTTAAACCGAGCCTCTTACTGATTTGGATTTGCTTAATAGCTTCTTAGAGTAACTGGAATTAACCCCTTGGAAGACTAATGAAGCAGCGGAAAGGGCGGCGGCTGCATCGGCTGCCACTTCCGAGCCTGGTGAATCGGCTGTTATTTTATAGAGTGTTCGAGGGGTGTCCATGTCTTCGGGACGCTCCCAACAATCGTGATCAGCTTGTCCATCCCCCACCTGTATAATACAATACCATCGATGTTCATGTTGAACATATGTTGAATAGATGGTTCGAATCGAGACGGAAACCTGAGTATAAAGTGTGGTGGATGAAGTATGTGCTTTCAATATAAAATCCGTGCCCCAACGGATTGCGGTGCAGAGGTTGTTAAGCTCATCGGCCGATGAGATTTCGTTCCGGTACTCGACAGCTGCCCAACTTAAGAGAGTCACGGAAAACGCCATAGGCCATAGGAACTTCACATTATCACCAGCATCATAATAACCTCCCACCAATTTAACCTGCAAGTGCTGCAAAACCAAATCTTCAAAATCAATACCAAACTCAATTCTAACATCATCAGTGTGCAAAGTATTTTGGTAGTCATACGTTATCGGGTTTGCCGTCGTCGAGTGCGGAGTCTCCCCTCCACTTGACTCTCTGGCTCGCCGGCAACTTCCCCGAACGTTGTCCTTCGAAGAACAAGATTGCTTTGCCGAGCGCATCCTTATAGTCATAAGACAGACCCAGATCCTCCAAGGCGAGCTCATATTGACTACTACTACCGGCCAATGCCATGGTTAACGTGCAGCACAAGGCCAGAACCCACACTTTTTCACTGGAACCCATTTCTGGCTTGGAATTGCCTTAATTTGCGTTGTCTTTGATAGTTGGTTATGCTGGTTATTTATAGACGAAAACAATCTGCGTTTCGTAAAAGAAATTACGAACAGTATTTTATTATTGAGTTATGTTATATATTTTTATCTCAGTCCACAACGAGGAATAGTGAAGAAGATATTTTCATTAGCTAGTCAATTAATATCAATATTTTCAGTTGAATTAAATGCCAACTCTAACTCTACCAAACTTTTACAGTAACAAAATCATATTCATATTAAATTCATTTTTCATGTGATTATGATGCATTAATAATTTATATATTATATAGTTTTTTTATATAACCGTGTCATTTGTACATCATATTATGTTTTGACTATATTTATTTCACCTGTTCTTTGAGAACAATATCACGTGGTCTTTAATGTTCCTGTTATTTCTCTGTTCATAAAGTTATTTTTTATTCATTTTTTTTATATTCAAACAGATCTTTATATAAATATGTACTATGTGAATTTATAATTTTTTTTTTACGATTTATATTAGAATTTTATATATTTCGTTTCTTCTTTCGAATCCTAACAAATTCTTAAATATTTCCTGGAATTAAGTTTCAATTAATAAAATTCCATGAATATAAGAAATTCATGGGGCTCAAGTGTGGTAAAATGCATTTCACATGGTCAATAACATTTATGATTATAGACCAATAGTTCTGGGCTTAGATACACTGAATGTTTGTGGTTGGGTCTCTTGATCCACCGTGTTTATATTTTGAGTAATTTGATCTAATGTGTACTATATATTTGAAAATTATCTAACGGGTAAAGTATATAAATATTCCCCAAATATTTAGGGTGTTTACATTTTGGTCACATAATTTTTAAAGCTTATAATACAATTATTAAACTTTTAATTCATTTTAATAGATGTTTTTACTATTAGTTTTTGTTGATGTGGCACTTAATTAATCTACCCTTCTTCTTTGACCCTCCCTTCTTCTTCTTCTTCTTCTTACACACTCTTTCAATGAAATCTCATATCCAATGTCCTGCCATTTCTTGGATTCTTTTTCTCTCTCTATTTTCCCCAAAAATTCAGCTTCTCTCTCTACTTTCTCGAGAAAAAAATGATTAACTCGGCAAGAAAATCTATCCTTCCTTCCCAGGGTTTCCTTCCAGGCAATAAATCAATCATTAATTAAAGAGTGTTCTTGCTCTTGGAGGCGGAAAAGCACCAATGGAGGTTAGTTTATACAAATTGTATAGAGATTCTGTTTCTTTCCCTTTCTCAGCAACAATGAGAAAACCTTCAGTTTCTTTTTCTGTAGTTCTTCCATTTGAATCTTCTTAACATGAGATGATGTTACTTATCCAGGTCTTTGTAGAGTTCCATGGACGCCAACCTTCACCCGAGGCATTGCTCAGGCACAATGGGTTATTACCAGCCACAGCCTGAACATAAGCTGGTTTGTCTTTAATTTGGCATTCAGGGTTTACCAAAGGGACATGTAAAACAAGTTTTACAGTCATTTAAGTTCCGGTTATACACCAGCTTCATGTTCAATTCCGCCCTTCAAATTTGGTTTAAATTCATGTGTAGTAAAGCTTTGATGGGATTATTATTAAGATGTTTATTATATCAAACATATCATTGTTATGAGCTTGTTTTCCCGGAGATTGTTGTCTGTTGTTGACATGTTTAATAAATAATATTTTCTGTTCGTTTGTCTGCTTCAAACTTGTTTGTTTCTAGGACATTGTTGTGTTCTGTTAGATGCATAGTCTGAAATTTTCTTAAGCATGGTAAAGTCAGCATTCTGGTGTTGCATATTTGGTGTACATTCTGCAAACTTCGAAAATAAAATGAAAGAGACAAAAGTGCTTGGTCTTTCATTTAAAAAACAAGGGACATGTAAGCAAACAATGATTTGTTTATTGCCCCGAAGGAAACACTGGAAATGAAGGATGGATTTTCTTGCAAAGTTAATCAATTTTTTCCCGAGAAAGTAGAGAGAAAGTTGAATTTTCTTGGGAAAATAGATTGAGAAAAAGAATCTAAGGGCTTTGGATATGAGATATCATTGAGAGTGTGTGTGAGAAGAATAAGAAGGGAGGATTGGCTTCCGTTAAATGCCATGTCAGTAAAAATTAACGGGAGGGTAACGACAAAGACCTTATTAAAAATCAACTAAAAGTTTGATGACGGTATTACAAGTTTCAAAAGTTTGGTGATCAAAATGTAAGTACTGTAAAAATTCAGGGACTATTTATATACTTTACCCTTATCTAATATATAAATTGTACAAATTTATAAAAATTTGTCTATTTTAATATTATATGTTTTATTTGGAGTTTATGGAGTAGAATTTATAATTTAAGGTTTAAGAATTAAAGGAGACGAAAATATTGAGGATCTAAAATAATTTTTTTAAATAGTTTAAGTCAACAATAATCATTAAACCTATTATTCCAACAAATGTAATTCAACTTTGCCAAAAGTCTAAAAAAACAACCTCATTAATATTTTTTAATTTTTTTAGAGATCAAACAAAATTCGATTAAACTTGGAAATTATTTTAATAAAGTTTAAATTTAAAAATTAAATTTAAAAAACTCAAAATTTTTAGTAATTATTATATTAATTTTCACGTTTGAATCATATATGCGTAATATATGTATATCACATATAAAATTATATAAAGAAATATATTTGTATAGCGCATACGGATATAGAAAGCTATTTAAATTGAAATCAATTAGTATCATAATATCATAACTACTTGTAACTAAATTTAAACAGAAACTCAAATTACTCGACTCGATTAGAACAATTCAAACAAATTTTGAATTATAAAATAGGATTTCATCTAGACTAGTTTAAAAAGAATTTGTCCGACTCGTCTCGATCAAACATTCGAACTTAATTTTTTTATTCTTTGGCACAATTAACGTAGCTTTCAATGAACCCCATCAAGGAATTAGTGAGTTTTGTCTTCTCCGATTTGATTACCCCCGTGTTGAATTATGATCACCCCTATCACACAAGAAGAACTGGTTAACCAGAAAACCACCACCACTTGAACATTTTTAAAAAGTACTATGAGTTATCTTTAAGGTTTACTGTATTTTTAAAAAGTAAGTTTAATCAGGGATGGATTTAGGGTGATATCAACCTTAGAATTTTCAAATTCATTTATATTTTCTATTGATTATCTAATTTCGCATATCCTAAAATTTTATAGCTCCGCACCCCTCAATTTTTTTAAACATATTTTCTTAAATCCGCATCCCTGACATAGTTTTCTGCTTCCGTACCTAGATTTAAATGTGCTAAGTTAATAATTTTTCATCAGCAAAAGATGACCCAATTGCTACACATGATTAATTTTTCGAATTTGAGATGGGAGATTATTGGTTTCAAAATGGGTAGGGGGAGTCAACTCTGCTATATGAACTAAAATACATCTTGGGCGGTGAATTTATCAAATGAGAAAACCCTAGAAAAAAAAAATTAGAATCCTTTTGAATAGAATTTCAACGTGCAATGATCAATATACAACTATCATTTTAAACTTATTTGTTTTTTCACGTTTTAATCATTATGTAGAAAAAGTATGATTTATTGATGTGTAAGAATATTAATTCATCACTTTTAATGTAGATGGAGAATCCTTAGGAGAGATTTGAAAATGATGATTAATGGTGATTTATTTCTTTTGATGTGAATAGAGAATTGTTAAAAATATCAATAATCAGATACGAGACTCGAATTAATTTTTTATCATTAAAAAAAAGTGAAAACGCTAAATACGAGAGAAAAATCTTAGGTGGCGTTTGGTTCGCTGGAATCCCTTGAAATTAGGGGGAATTGAAATCAAATTCCACCACTTTCCCATGTTTGGTTCAAGTTTTCAAATGGGGAATTGGAATTCAATTCCATCAAGGGAGGGAAAGTAAATTTCATCAATAACATGATGAAATTGAAATAATTTGGAGGAGGGAATGTGAAATTTGATCATACTACTCTCATCAATCTTTGAGTAACTTATTAATATATTTTGATTGGAATTAGGGATGGCCACTTAACCTGGACCCGACGGGTTTCGACCCGACTCGATCGGATCGGATTTTTTTTTAAAAATCATGTTCGGGTCGTGTTTTTTTAAGTTTGATATTCGGGTCAGATTTTTTAAGTGTGATATTCGGGTCGAGTTCAGGTTTACGGTGAAAAATACCCGACCCGACCCGAAAAATATATATAATTTTATCTTATATATTTAGGAATAATTATAATAATACCCCTCTATATATAATTTTTTTCAAACACTATTTTTATTGAATAAAAATATTTTTTTATTATTTCGGGTCTGGTTTCTAATTTATATATTCGGGTAGGGTCGAGTGAAATTTTATTTTGGTCGGGTCGAGTCGGGTGTACCAAAAATCCGACCCATGACCATCCCTAATTAGAATGATTTTAACTTATGATGTTTATTAGTATGATTTTTATAATTTATTAAAATGAATAATCAATCAATAAAATGAAAAAAATAATATTTTTTAAATTTTTAAAAATGAATAATCCCTAAATGTTTTAAAATTAATATAAAACAAACTAAAATTAAGCTAAAAAACAAGAAGGGTAATTCTGTCATTTTATATTACTGAAATCAAATTCATCTAACATGTCTGCGAACAAAACAAAATATAGAATTGGATTCAAATTCAATTTCCTGCCAACCAAACAGGTTTCAGATTCAGATTCAAATTCCTACAGATTTCAATTCCTTCATAGATTCTAATTCCGTCAGAAATATTCCAGCAAACCAAACGCCACCTTAGGGATCTTGATATATTCACTTTTAAGAGAAAAATATATACTCTTATGAGTTTCTTATTGTTGTTGTTCACCCATACCATATACCAATCATCGATAAGTTGATTGGTGATGATGACTATTTATAGGTGATCTTGATTTTTTTTAGGATATAACTTGCTTGATATGATAAAAGGATTGATTCAATGAAATTTGGCACATATTTTATTATCTATCAAATTTAACGATAAAAATCAAGGATGGATCGAGGGGTCAGACAGGGGTAGTCACCGCCTGAAATTTTAAAATTGGTATATATTTTGGATTTTTTCAATGTATTTTTTATTGAAAAATTATTTTCGTCTTCTAGGAATTTTAGTTTTCTCCTTTAAGTTTAAGTTTATCCCCTCTAACATAAAATTATACGTTTGTTTCTGGTCGAAATGGAAAGATACTAAAAAAATGGACTATAATTTTGAGATCGCATGGTGCAAAACAATATACTCGACAGTATTATTCATGAACGTACAACAAGGTTAATATAGACAACGTTCACGTTATTATCAAGAAACAAATCCTCTTTTGTAATTTCACTAACCTTTGTTATATTTTTTTATTTCAGTCCATAACGACGAATAGTGAATAAGAGAAATGAATGGCATAAGTCATTAGGTAAGCTGTTCCAAGTGGCATTGAAACAGTCCCTTAAGCTAAGGTCATTACCTTACCTATACCACATTTGTCAATTTCCTCCGTTAATGCTTTCAATTTTTGTGAGATAACAATGGATGGACTTTCGTTCATCATTTTAAGAAATTATTCGATGACCCGTCTGGTTCAGTGAATGAGAGTCACAAATTTTAAAATAACTATTCAATATACTCGGTTTGATCTATTTCTTATTTACATGTAGGAAAGAAGTGAAGATTCACCTTGAAAAAAATGATATGAATAAATATTATTGGTTAGGAACACAAATGATGTGGTGAGCCTAGGGATGGGCATGGGACCCGAACTCGACGAGTTCCGATCTGACTCGACTTGATCAAGTTGTTTTTTTTTTTAATTCTGAGTTTGTGTCGGGTTTTTTTTAAGTTATGTTCGAATCGTGTCGGATTGGAATTTAAGGTGAAAAACACCTTACCCGACCTGACGCAAGAAAAAATTATATTTTTACCCTATATATTTAGGGCTAATTGCATTAATACTCATCTATATATTATTTTCTTTCAATTTGCATAAAAATAATATTTTTTAATAAATATATTATTTTTGACGGTATACGTAAAAAGATCTTTTTCATTACCATCAACCTTTCTTTATCTCCAACAAAATAAATTAGATATTTTATAAATAAATAAAAAGAAGAAGAAAAGTAAGAAGGAACAAACTTGTTTGTTGTTATTTGTTTAGCACAATATACATGATTTTATGACTTTCGGATTCTTTCCTTTATCGTTTTGAGCATACCCACAAAAATCAACTCAAAACAGTCAAAGTTTTGATAGATAGCACTTTAATATCTTGGGGCTTTAGTTATTTTAATATTACTATCTTTATCTTATAATTATCGATATTTGATTCATCGATTGATTAATTCAGATTGAATATTACGAAGATTCATTATAAAGATAATCTTTCCAACTTTATATTTGAACTATTTACAGTATATAAGGGACATAATATCTCACATCATTAATCAGCCAATTAATATAATTCTATTATACTTTAATATATAAATGAACTTATTTGAAAATAAAAATATTTTTTTTATTTTTGAAAAAAAATGAACTTGTTTACATGTTTTAAATTTATCTAAAAAGAAGAGATACACTTGATACTATCTTTGATCATTAAAACAAAAAAAATCATTAAATTCTATTATAACTTTTTTAATGTTTTAAGTTGATCCTCAAACTCTATCACCAAGTTCCGTCACTGTATAAATTGTATTATACTAGTCAATTAGCAATGCATGTGTATGAACATTGACTTCGATCCTTCATTAAACTCATGTTTAAAATCCTATATTTAAACCTTGAAAAAATCGATATCTAAATAATGTGAATTTAAAGAATTTCATAGCCAAAGTTGTTGATTTTAAGTTGTCAAAGATATATATATATACTCATTTTTAGATAAAATTCGTAACAATTTAGATGGTTTGACCCTTCTTCATTCATTCATTTTGGCCCTCTTTTATTTCATTCCTTATATTTTGACCCTTTAATTTTTTTTTAAAAAAAAGGGAAAATCGTCATCATTTGTGGACAACTTTTCCTTAAAATTTACACAATTAATTCAAAGTCGTCAAGAAGGGATAACGACCTTGCTGATGGAACTCAGTGATAGAGTTTGAGGGATTAACTTAAAACATTTAAAAAATTAAGAGATTTGAATTAAAATTTTCAAAAAATTGAAGGGTTTATTTTATATTTTTCTCCAAAAAATTAAGGCATAACTAAAATTTTTGAAATTTTTAGAGGCTTAATTAGAATTTGTAAAAATTATGGATAGTGTCTAATTAAGAATATTAAAAAAATTAATGTTTAATCTAAATTTCTAAAAAAAATTGGAGGCAAATTATTTTTTTTAAAAGAAAACTCTAAATTATATTTTTAAAAATGTTGATTCTATTTCTTTCATTATTTTCTCATATTCTCCTAAAATGAAGTGTGTTGGACATTAACATTATTAAATGGCAATTAGTTAGGCGGAATAACATTTTTCTGGGGGGTAGCATGGTGGACTTTCATAGTTCCAGATTGATTAGGGTAAATTTCGGATGAAAGGGAGAATAAGGACATGATTAAGTAATACGGGAAGGAGTGGGTAAATTTCGCTTTTACCCATAATTCTCATGCCACATTGGAGAAAAGTAAATCAACCATAAAATTCCTAATGGGATAATTACTTTCTATGCTCCTCTACATCTAACTTTCATACAAAAATCCCTTTTTGTAGGCCCAAATCTCTCCCGATAAGACCCAAATTACACAGGACATCAATATGCATCTAGACCGGCCCATAACCATCTCGGATCGATTTCATTACGTTGACTCAAAAATTTGAACCGTTACAGAGCAAGTATATGTGGTTTGATTCAAGAATAAGTATTTATATAGGTGATCGATTCTCACTCATTATAAGTTTATATAGATGAAACTCAATTCGAAATAATATATATTCTTTAATGTCCTAAAAGTTAAAAGAAAATTTTATTCAGTAGTATAGTGCGCAAATTTAAACTTAATTTTATTCTCCCTTTGGTCCTTGCAATACGGCAAGTCCTTTTTTTTTGTTTATTTTTCTGTAGAGCTGCTCTCCGCGTTCTTGTCGTTTCCAATAGATTCCCTCCGCGTTGCAATACCGAAAGTCCTTTTCTTTTCTTTTTCTAAAAGAAATGAACTAAACCTTAATTTAACTTTATTTCCTATAAATTCTAGTTTAAGCATGTACAACAAGCAGTTGTTGGCTCAATGAGGGATGGTTCTTTGCCTACGCACGGTAGGCGATGGGCATCCGACACCGTTCCCGCCAATACCACACTCAGCTCAACAGCTTCACCTGGAAGCGGGTACCTGTCGGCCGAGGAGTTCGTCGAGGTCACCATCGATCTCCAAGACGATGATACCATCATCCTCCGAAGCGTCGAGCCGGCCACCGCCATCAACGTCGATGAAGGTTCCGATAACTCGGCCTCGGCTTCACGATCACCGACGATCAAGCGGAGCTCATCCAATAAATTCAGACAGTTTTCACAAGAACTAAAAGCCGAGGCAGTGGCCAAAGCCAGGCAGTTCTCACAAGAGTTGAAAGCCGAACTACGCAAGTTCTCGTGTGGCCAAGGACGCACATCTCAGGCTGTAAACGGATTTGACTCGGCTTTAGCCGCTCGAGCTCTAAGAAAGCAAAGAGCTCAGCTCGACCGGACTCGCTCCGGCGCTTCAAAAGCACTTCATGGATTAAGGTTTATCAGTAAAAATAAAGCCAATGCATGGGAAGAAGTTCAGAACAATTTCGACAAACTCGCAAAGGAAGGCTTTCTCTTTCGCTCCGATTTCGCACAATGCATAGGTTATCTTCACATTCCTTTTCCTCAAACCCATTTTTAAACGCTTCGATTTCAATCTATCTTCTAATGTTTTTCGTATTCGTTTACTGTTCTTTAAGGAATGAAGGATTCTAAGGAATTTGCGCTGGAGATGTTCGATGCATTGAGTAGAAGAAGAAGATTAAAAGTTGAAAAAATTAGCAGAGATGAGCTTTATGAATATTGGTCTCAAATCACCGATCAAAGTTTTGATTCTCGCCTTCAGATCTTCTTCGACATGTACGCGTGCTATTTTTTAATTAATTTCTTTTAATCATTCTATTTTAAAATTAAAATTTCACTCTCGTCTTCTTTTGAGATTTCCTCCATAATTTTCGAAGCCTGTAACTGCATATGCAAATGAAAATCGTGTTTCCCCCCAAGTATAGATAAATGATTAATATGTTAACTTCTCTAATCTCATATTATATGATTGATATGTAAATCATTTTTCAGGGTGGATAAGAACGACGATGGTAGAATCACTGAGGCTGAAGTAAAAGAGGTACTAATAATAATAATTAACAAATTTTTTAATGAAACTGGATCAGGCAGCCACTTTAAACAAAATTTTAATAGCATTGTCTCTTCTGCTAAAATTATTAGTTTTCTTCAAAATGAAAATTGTAAGGCCGCCCTTTCATCTTCAGAGGGAAGTAATTTAATGTTTAAAGTGATTGATCAAAAGAACTTGTTAACAGGGTGTCATTTGGTTTATTATAATTTATAATCAACGTTAGGCAGGTATTGAATGACCTTGAATCACAAGAAACTCTTACACTAACTACTACCATAATAAATAATTCAAATTAAAGAAATAAGAAACAATTTACGATTTCAAATTTTGGGTGCTCCACGTTAATCACTTTACAAGCATCTTATCTATAATTAGATTGATTCTTTTTTACATAATAATTAGATTGATTTATTCATATTCATTGCTTGGCATCTATTTTTTTATTGAATTTTGGTCATTTTCTAATAAAATTTTAGTGGGGTTAGTGGGGGCATTTTGGTCTATAATTTCTCCTCCTGATTTCACAGATCATCATGCTAAGTGCTTCAGCTAACAAGCTATCGAGATTGAAGGAGCAGGCGGAAGAATATGCAGCTTTGATCATGGAAGAGTTGGACCCAGAAAGACTTGGATATATTGAGGTGGGTCCATTACTTATATCGTGTTTCCATGATCAACTACTTCTATGCTTAATGCAAGAATTTTTTTTCTCTTTTAATATTAATTATTTAATATTCAAGGGTGTTAAGACAAAGGATGATCTAGACTTCGACAAAAACAAGTGTTCTATAATTTTAATATATCAAGTTGAGGAAATTTTAATTTGCAGTGAGATTTCATTTTCAGATTAGGTTTCAAACTAATAAATTTCAGTAAGATGTCCGGTTGAGCAGCATTGACAATATTATTAAAAATGAAATTAGTAAATTGGACTTGTTCTTCCACAGTCCATTGGTAGGCAAAAATTGATCAAATCTTCCAACAACCGTGACCAAGCAAGAATAAAAGGTCCGTTTTTAGTACTTCGTTTACCGAGCCATTTAACTTCAGCTCGATAGAAAGAAAAAGAATTTGGCTAAACAGATTCCTTTCCGAATAAAATGTACACAACCCAAAATAGAGTACTACTAGCTTAGTATATTTTCCATTTTAATCTCTCGAATTTCATTTGCATGATTATCCATTGAAAGTTACCCTATTAATTTTCAATTTCGAGTTTTTTTTTCCTTTAACTGCTTGATCTCCATGTGATAATTAAGGCTTTATAGTATTATAATCAACTTGGCTGGTCACTATCGGGCAATGGCATCTGGTTTGAATTTGATTTTTTTTTTCTTTGTTTCATATCTTGAAGAATTGATTGTTTTTTTTTCTCTTTTGTTTTACTTGTCAAAGTGGTTGGGATTAAGTATTGAGCAAAGGGTATTTTCGTTATTTGGTCATAGATTAAAGGGGTCCTGACCAACTCCATCCCATGATTGGCCGTTTTGAACTAAATGGTCCTGCTAAATGGCAGACCTGACATTTGGGTTCCCATGTGACTGTGAGGTTTGCTTTCTAGTTATTCCCCTCTCCAAAACGCGTCCTCTTCACTAATTCACGCATGCACGCGTCCTCCATTCTGCATCACTCATAGTGTTAACGATTTGACAGAATCAAAGATAATTATGTCCTTTTTCATGACTAGAAACTTTCCTTGTCATTTAATATTTCCTTCGCCATAACATCATGATTTGGTGGATGATGATGACTGATGAAAATGATGCAGCTATGGCAATTGGAGACACTTCTCTTGCAAAAGGACACGTATCTGAGTTACAGTCAAGCCCTAAGCTACACAAGCCAAGCCCTTAGCCAAAACTTACAAGGAATAAGAAAAAGCAGCAGAATCGGAAGAATGAGCAATAAACTTGTTTACTATCTAGAAGAAAATTGGAAGAGAATACGGGTCGTGTCATTGTGGATAATGATTATGATAGGACTCTTTACATGGAAGTTCTTTCAGTACAAACAGAAGAGTGCTTTTAATGTTATGGGTTATTGTCTCCTCACAGCCAAAGGAGCAGCTGAGACCCTGAAGTTTAACATGGCTCTTATCCTCATGCCCGTGTGCAGAAACACCATCACTTGGCTCAGGTCCACAAAGCTGGGTCTATTCCTACCTTTGGATGACAATATCAACTTTCACAAGGTATTGTAAACTGTTTACCAACTCCTTTATTTTGTCTCTAGTAATACATCTTTAGCTTCTCTTTTACGTTTATCGTCTGGGTCCCGGATAAGTTGATGATAGAAGTCAACATGATGGGTTGATTTTACTTGATATATTGTTTGTGAACTTTAAACAATGACAATACGACTATTTGTTGGGGGTAGAGGGGAGACATTGCACGTTCACGCATCAAAAGTTGACATCTAAACATATATTTCTTTTTTAATTGTAGAAGACACTAGGCTTCCATGCATGAAACTAAAAAAATTATGGCTTTAGTAATTTTAAATTTTTTGGCGTTGACTAAAGCATTGACAGTTGACACACAATATTGTTTTTTACAAACCGAATGTTCGGTTTGGCCCAATGAATATAAGGCTGGCAGAGTTAGCTAGTGGATGTAAGGCTTCCCGATTCAAAATTTGCAAATAAGCCCAAAATGAATAGCAATATTGATGCATTGCATAAATAATAACGTTGAAATTTGAAAGTTGTCGATTCCATACAATTAGATCATTTTTGACGCACTCATCATCTTATGCAGACAATAGCCGCAGCGATTGTAATTGGAGTCATTCTCCATGTCGGTAACCATCTCGCCTGTGATTTTCCGAGGCTTATCCATTCTTCTAATGATAAATATAGAAAGTTTCTAAGCCATGACTTTGGAAGTCATAAGCCAACGTACTTGGACCTGGTAAAAGGAATTGAAGGAGTGACTGGAGTTCTAATGGTTATCTTCATGGCCATTGCATTTACACTGGCAACAAGATGGTTTCGGCGGAACCTGATTAAACTTCCCAAGCCCTTTGATAGAATCACTGGCTTCAATGCCTTCTGGTACTCACACCACCTGTTTGTCATTGTCTACGCCTTGCTTGTCATCCATGGCGAATTCCTTTATCTCGTGCACATATGGTACCGTAAGACGGTATATATTCAAATCTTCTTCTGTCAAGTGTTTGCTTAAATTCTAATAACAGGATTTTGTTTTATTTGAGTAACTATAACTGTAATTTCAGCCTTAAGGTTAAGGTATCGAATTCCATGTTGCAGACTTGGATGTACCTCGCTATTCCAGTTCTGTTATATGCTGGAGAAAGGACCCTAAGGTTTTTTCGTTCTGGTTCCTATACTGTCCGGCTTTTGAAGGTAAGCATAACTCTGTCACTTTATAAACAAGAAGTTCCTTAAGTAAATAGAATCTGTTCAAAGAAAAAGGGTGAAGTACAAAACGGAGAAACATTAATTGGACCAATTAACAGTGAAGCACATGCTGCACAGCCTCAAGAATCTTTGATTGGCGATCTTCTTGTAAGTTCATTCTCGATATATAGGTTGCAATTTATCCGGGAGGTGTTCTCACATTACAAATGTCTAAGCCACCTCAATTTCGGTACAAGAGCGGGCAGTACATGTTTGTCCAATGCCCTGCTGTCTCTCCATTTGAATGGTGAGTAAAAAATATCAAAGCAAATATAATATTTTACAATGATTCCAGCTGTTTCGGTTTGCTACTAAATTGATCAGATTTTGCATTATAAGATTTTGTAGGTAAGTAAATAATAGAAGAAAATGCAAATGGACTCAGACCTATTCGATTTGCTGTCCATAATAGCCTTCTAAGATGAATGGAACCCGGTTAACATATTTGATTGATTTGTGATAATAAGAAGGAAGTTTTCTTCCGAACTCATGAGTATTTCCTTCTGTGAACCAGGCATCCTTTTTCCATCACCTCTGCTCCTGGCGATGACTACCTTAGTGTACATATTCGTCAGCTAGGTGACTGGACCCAAGAGCTCAAACGGCTATTCTCAGAGGTTTGTGAACCTCCTGTAGCTGGGAAAAGTGGGCTTCTCAGGGCTGATGAGACAACTAAGAAAAGGTAACATCTATTTGGATTCTATTAATATATTCAACATTCTCTTTTCTAGAAGCATTTAGATTCTGTAGGAATACTGTGTAATTTTATAATCCATGATATTCTTGTCCGAAGAACAGTTTGCCAAAGCTGTTGATTGATGGACCGTATGGTGCACCGGCACAAAACTATAAGAAGTATGATGTTCTGTTGCTTGTGGGTCTTGGAATTGGTGCAACGCCATTTATCAGCATCTTAAAAGATCTGCTAAACAACATTGTCAAAATGGAGGAGCAGGCAGTAAGTAACATGTGCCAAGTTAATTGAATTTGTTAGTCATTCTTGGTCTTTTGTTATAAGATTCACAATGAACCTATTTGTTTTTTTTTTCATTTTTCAGGATTTGGCCTCGGATACCAGTAGGACATCAGACTTAAGTGTTGAGAGCAATGATTCAAACGCTCCGAACAAAGTTTCACGAAAGAAGACTCTTAAGACGACCAATGCTTACTTTTATTGGGTAACCAGGGAGCAAGGTTCATTTGATTGGTTCAAAGGGGTCATGAATGAAGTTGCAGAACTTGATCAAAGGGTAAATGAACCAATCATCGTATAAGTTTTTTCGTTTATAATATTCTTAGAATGCCTTCACTAACTTGTCCCTTTGGAGAACAGGGTGTCATTGAAATGCACAACTATTTGACAAGCGTTTACGAGGAAGGCGATGCACGCTCAGCTCTCATCACAATGGTCCAAGCACTAAATCATGCCAAGAATGGAGTCGACATCGTTTCGGGCACCAGGGTAAGACTCTTTCCTGTCTCATTTTCATTCTCTCAGCATGTGAAGAGACCCATTTTCAAACACAATAAAAGTTCAACTTTGATATTATCAGGTGCGAACCCATTTTGCAAGGCCTAAATGGAAGAACGTTCTGTCTAAACTGAGTTCCAAGCATTGCAACGCAAGGATAGGTGAGTTAGCCCCCCAATTCTATTCAAGCAAATGAAAAGCTAGCAGTCTTGTATGTATTCTTATGCTACTGTTTCGTAATTTAAATGTGGTGGGAGCAGGTGTGTTCTACTGCGGGGCACCGGTTCTGGCCAAAGAACTCAACAAACTGTGCTACGAGCTGAACCAAAAAGGTTCAACTAAATTTGAATTCCACAAGGAGCATTTTTAAGACAAGTATACGAGGAGAGTAAATGCTAAATAGCAGCAGCCTCATCACCCCTTAGCCCTACCTCCTTTATTTACCTGCACAAGAATTTTCGCAATAAGGAGTTCCTGTACAGCCTTCGGCTAGAAAAAGCATTTCATCGTTGAATGCCCTCAAAAAAGTGACTGAACTGATTTTGATGAATTGAATTCAATGGTGTAGCCAGCAACACGATAATTAGATAAGAGGGATGACTGCCGTACTGATGCAATTGAGAGTTTGACTCCAGACATGAGAGGCTGGGCACTGGGCAGGGCTAGCCCGACCTCGAATTATTGATGGGATTGGAGGAAGTATAGGTTTCTTCTTCTTTTTTCTTTTCCTTCTCTTTTTCTATATTTCCCAATTTTCATGTAAACAATTCTAAATATACTAATAAACTATTGTAAAAGAAAATTTAATCATAATAGGTGTAATAAATACAACACAAATTCAGTGACAAATGAATTAAAACTTAAAGCAATTTGTGATTAATGGCTTTACATTATAGTGCACAGATGAGATCAGTTTCCATATAGGTTTGGTCTTCCAACTCTTTCTTAATGTGAAACTTGCATAGCAATAAGGACATAATTAAATTCCTAAAAGTAGAGTACATGTAACTCGTGAAATAGTGCTTTCAAGGGTTGAAAAGTGTCATGGCTACTTTTTTTCCATTTCTTTAAATATTTTCTTATACTTTTGCTCATTACATGTTGTTAATATAAAAATAAGTGTCTAAACTATACTCAAACAAACTTTATTTTTAGTACTTAAAGAATTTTTACGTTAAAAATAGGTATTAATATTTTTCTGTTACACTTTTAGGTGCATACCGTTAAAAAAATCGTTAAGTGAGATGTGTCACGTTCAAGTTTTTATTTTAGAAAAAGAAATTTTAAATAATATTTATTTGAAAATAAAAAAATATATAAATTTGACAGTGTCAATTAAAGAGTTTTTAATGGTAAGCACCTAAAAGTGTAAAAGAAAAAATATTAGGCACCTATTTTTTTAAAAAAATAATATGTACCAAAAGTCAATTTTGAGTATAGTTTAGACAATTATTTTTTGTATTAAGTATATTCAAAAAATCTTATATAATAGATTTAGTCCTTATATTTTTTAAAATTTAAAATTTAGGGCAAATAATTTATTTTAAAATCTTTGATAATCACTAATTTTTAGGAGGAGATTTAATTTAGGGTAAATTATAAATTTGATACTAAACTTTTCTCTCTATCTTATTCCTCTCACTGTACTTTAAACTTTTTTAATTTCCTCACTGAATTTCATACATTGGGTTTTTTGGTCACTCAGTCGTTTCCTTATTAACGTCGTTATGGCGTGCTTTTTATTATTAAAAGAGGAGTGACCAAAAAATCCAATGCATAAAGTTTAGTGATTAAATTAAAAATAATTAAAATTATGGTGAGTAAAATAGGAGAGAGAGTAAAGTTTAATGATTAAATTTATAATTTAACCATTAAAACACGGAATAAAAAAGCCACGTCATAACAACGTTAGTGAGAAAACGGTTGAATGACAAAAAAAAACTCAATGAATTAAGTTCAGTGAGGAAATTGAAAAGATTTAAAGTACATTAAGTGTAATAGGAGGAGGATAAAGTTCAGTTACCAAATTCTTGTATAAAAGAAGACATATTTAATCACTGGATTTTGTTTGTAAATTTAAAAATAAAATTAAAACATCAACATCAAGAAACCTAAAGAAAGTGTGTGATTAAGAAGGGTTTATTATAGTAATGGACACGTTTTGACAACATAAAAGTTTGCTGCTCGGGAATGCTTTAGTCCATCCTTTTATTCCCTTTACAACTAACAAACCCATTAGCAAAATTGCATAAATGTGTCTCTTTACCAAATTCTTCTATTAATCCCTCTATCATGTGTAAATTGTGGATTCAATCTCTATAATTAGTCTTGATTTAGACGATAATCATTAAATTTTGACTCAAATTATACTATTAATTCATAGATTATACGTAAACAAAATCATACGACCAAGTAAAATATTTTAGTCGGCTAAAACAGAGTGTGGAAAATAAAAATAGGGTAAATTATACGGGTGATCACTCAACTATGGTAAAAAATTATTTTGACCATTGATGTTTCAATTTGATCAAACAGACCACTCAACTATTCAAATGGTTCAATCAAGCTATTGGTCGTTAATTTTTAACGGTGGATGTGACATGAAAGTTAAAATTTAACCGAGAGAACGACTCTTAAGTTAACTTTTTGGTATAATTATATATTTGGTACTTGTTACTTAACCAAGATGTCAATTTGATCTTAATTTTAGTTACATACAAATAAATTTAATCATCAAATTAAATTGCGCACATGTCAGTCTCAAATTGGAATGCTAAGTTTATTTTTAATTTAATAGATTAATTTTCCTCCTATCCAAAGGTGTCACCCTCTTGGAAGAAAAAAAACAAAGGTGGATAAAAGGAATCAAACCCAAGACCATTGGGTTGTTTGGCTGCTGCTATTCCACTAAGCCAAGGAAGCAATTTGATATATAAAAATTAGCTGACCCTTTATTCCCATATGTAATGGGGTAAGGGGGAGGTATGATAGTAGGCTGCCCCCAACACTAGGTTGAGAGCAGCTTCCGTGGGAGACCTCCGAATTATGAAATGCCCTCCGTGGGACTCGATCCCACGACCTCAAGGTTAAGAACCTTGTGCTCTACAAACTGAGTTGTACGGTCATTTCAAGCAATTTGATATATAATGGACAACAAATGTAAATATCTTGTATAATAATAAGTAAATGATTTATTCGAAATTAATACTATTTTATATATCTAAAATATATATTTTATGTTTGTTTTAACTTATTAAATATATTTTATTTTTATTTTAATGTAAAAATATATATTTTATCTTTATCATCACTTAAAAATATATTATTAAAAATATTAAAAATATTTTTAGATATATCTTAAATATATCTTTTATTTTTTTAACTCGATTTTAAAATTTATTTTAAAAATATTATTTTTATTAAATATATTTTATTTTATTTTACTATAAAATATTTAAAATTAATAATTTATTATATATCTTTTATTTTTATTTTAACTTATTTTTAAAATATTTTAAATAATATATTTTTAAGTGATGATAAAGATAAAATATATATTTTTACATTAAAATAAAAATAAAATATATTTAATAAGTTAAAACAAAAATATAAATTTGACTATAGTTGAGTGGTCACCCAAGAAATTTACCCTAAAAATAAAAAAGAAATCTGAAAAGGTCTGTCGATAATCCAAGGCTGACCCACTAAAAATTCAATACTTAATACCGTTGAAAGCTATTTCAACGCGGTTGTTCGAGAACCCTAACCTTGAATTATATATATATAAATTCATGTCATCATCTTCATAATTCACACGAAAACTTACAGTTTCCAAAGCCCAGGTCTAAATCTTCGATTCTCGATTGAAAAAAGAGAATCCTAACCCTCATTGTTTTCCTTCTAGAGAACAATATGCAACAAGATCCGCAGGCGAAGCCACTGGCACCCGTTCAAGATTATCCAAGAAGCGACATGGAATCGGGTGGGTTTAAACCCAGAGCTTCACGTCGAGAAGAAAGAAGCAGTAAATGTCTTGTTTACGTTCTGGCAGTCGCGGTCATCCAAGGAGCCGTTCTCTTGATCTTCGGCAGTATCTTTTTACGCCCCAGAACCCCTGGTTTTGAGTTGGGATCGGTCAGGGTTCGGAACCTTATTTATAGAACTAATTCATCTTCTCCGTCGTTCAATTTTACGCTCGTAACGTCGGTCGCCGTCGAGAATACTAATTTCGGAGACTTTCAGTTCGACAACACGACGGGATCTGTCTGGTGCGGTTTAGTAGTCGTCGGAGAGTTTAAAATACCTACCGGGAGAGCTCAAGCTAGGTCAACAGAGAGGTTGAATGTTTCGGTTGTTGTGAGCTCACTTCGGATACCCAATACGACGACCTTAAGCAGCAATATAAGTTCTGAGATTTTAGAGCTGAGCAGCCACGTTAAATTGAGTGGAAAATTGAATATCATGAACATTATGAAGAGAAGAAGGCACCCTGAGTTGAATTGCTTCATGAAACTCAATTTTACAGGGGGGTCCGTACATGATTTAAGTTGCGATTAGTAGATGGAAGAACAGTTTTTGTAAAGCTTGTTTGCTTAAATTACTATCCCTTTGCTTCATGCTTTTGATCTTCCTCGACTATACATCATTTTTTAACTCGTTTATTCTCTTCTTCTCCTCCACCAAACAATTATTTACGGATTTTTTCCCTCCAAATCAACAAAATTACTGTTTGTGATATGAATGGCGGATTCATGTACGGGTCATAATCATTCAACTTGCTAGATGGAAACGAAGTTCAATGGCGTGACAAGACAGTTAATGGGGCATAGGCAGGCGCCCGTCGTTGTTGAGTGAAACGAGTAACCAAACCTAACGTTGCGACCTTTCCTTTTATATATATTAATATTTAGAAGACTTGTATCCTCCATTCATTCGTGTTGCTTTATCCTTAATATATTATCGTCATTTTAAAAATTTTATAAGTTTATGTTTTAATATAAAAATTTATGTACGTTTCTGACTGAGCTGTCAATGTTTTAGTATTTAGATTCAATTTTTTTTACTACAACTACAAAAAACAAGACAAGATTGAGAGAGAACAAATGGATTCAGTCTTTACCTTAATGCGTTAGCTTCTGTTTCAATTTGCAAGAAAAAGCCAAAGCAAACCCGTTGATGAAGATATCAAGGTTTGCAAAAGCTTGAGTTATAATCAATGGAGTTTCTCATGGCCTTCACCGTCCCTTTGGTAGACACCCGAAACTTCCTTTTGTCAAATCCAAGTTTATATCCCAAGAAAGAGGAGAAAATGACATACTCGACCATTGAATTGAATAGGGACTTCATTAGCTTCTTCCAAAATTAAAAGTTCGTGTGTTTAGACTTGTCCATCAATTAACTAAATTTATAACTTACTTATAACCTAAAGACTAATAATCATAATTTAACTTAACAAACTCATTATTACTATTGCGTCAAAACTAAAATTTCAGAATTTAAAGAGTAGGGATTAAAAAGCAACAAATTAAAGTATGGAGATTAAATCCTTAATTTTTTTATAGTTTAAAGATTAATAAAATCACTTAACCTTCTTACATTGTCATTTTCTATTTTTCCCTCTGTCCACAATATTTTAGCCCTCCCTACAGGGGAATGAAAAATCAGTGGTTAAATGAATAGTTGTTATTTTTAGAAGTTTCAAATCCGAGCACTAATAATTGTAGTAAGAGTGATTAAGCGTTCATTGTCAAATAATTGATAATATTTAAAACAAATATCATTTTACAATCACCTTTAGTTCAATAAAAAAATCAATTTTGATTTTTATATCATCCGATTTCGATTACATTTTTAAAAGTCCACAAAATAC